AGGTGAAGGAGGAGATCCAGCATGACCCAACAGGCGCTTGCATCCGGTGAAAACCGTCGGACGCTCCTTCGCACAAAGACTCAGAAAAGAACGAGGCGTGAAAACCCGGGCTTTCCGCGGGACAGGTTTGTGTACACTGGCCTGAGCGGGAGCTTGGAGGGAGCGCAGGGGGGGGGGGACATATGGGGGAGGGAGGGAGGGAGAGGACCATGGAGGCCCGGAGGATGATGAAAGTGATGGTAAGCAGTGCAGAAGAGGAGGAGGGCGGAGGAGGGAGGGTGGGTGGAGGGGGGGGTGGGGGGGGGGTGTCACAGGTATCAGTGGGGGGGGTGTACAGGGACACAGTCACAGCGGTTTCCTCGTTCCATCCTTACAGCTTCCACGCAGAAAACATGTCTCTGCCGACGGGTCCTTGAGCAAACATTTGGCTTAACCTGCACAATCAAACGCGTTCATTGTTAAGCTGCAAACCTCTGCATCTTCTAAACCCACAATTTCACAATAACCACACACCGATCCGGCCGGTCTCAGCATAAATAGGCTTGTGTTGACGCAGGTGGATTAATCGAGTCATTCTTTGGCGTATTAGTGGGGAGGAGGGAATGAACTGGACCATACAGCTGTCCATCAAACAGATTTATAACCGAACTGTCTCACGATTGAGCGTTATAATATTTAATTAAACGCCGTGTTTTCTTATTGTTAGTGTCAAACACAACGTGTAACGTTTATGCAAAAACAGGAGAGACACTTTTCCTGATGCCTTTGTGGAAAGCGCTGCAGCAGCTTTCTGTCATGACGTCATACGTGTAAGAAATCACCTTTGCAGATGTAAATCTTTTACCACCACAGACGTCACATGCGAGCCTAGATGGAATGGATTGAAATAATGTCCCCTGTGAATGAGCAGCTGTGAAAACCACACCTGGGTTAAACAGTTACCTGAGTTCACGTAAATAAATGCTCCCATGCACGCGCACACCCATAGAACCAATTAGGAAGAAGAAAAAGAAACCTCTACGAGCAACACTCTTACCTGAATACGAAAACTTCTTCATGATTGCCGATGTCGTTTAATTTCAATGTGAAAGTCGTAACGGGCGATGCGTCGGTTCGGTTTCTCCTGACAGGACGTTTGGCATCCGGAACTTTTCCAGATAGCTTACTCCCTCTCTCCCTCTCTCCCTCCCTCTCTCCCTCTCTCCCTCCCTCCCTCTCTCACTCTCTCCCTCCCTCTCTCCCTCTCTCTCTCTCTCTCCCTCTCTCCCTCTCTCTCGCTCTCTCTCCCTCCCTCCCTCCCTCACTCTCTCTCTCTCTCTTTTGTTGGTACCCTCCTCTGTCTCTCCACTGCCACTCCTGCGCGATCCGCTTTCACCTGTGCGCAGGTAAAGCCGCTTCTCGTGGAGCTTTCCTGAACTTGCTCCCGCGCCCTAATCTCCAAGGAGAACCGCTTGGAGAGGCCGTCTGCTGGGAATGGATTCATTCCCACCTGCGCTCCTCGCGACGCACGCCCAACGCGCAGCGGGAGGGGTTTCATTCAGCTGAGCTTCGGGGGGGCTTTTACCTGTCAAACCTCACAGGTGGAATGAAGACGCATCTCAAAGCACATTGGCTGTGAGTTTATGAGCTAAGAGAAAATGAACCGTGGCTTTAAATTAAACTTTTAGAAATATCTTATATGGGCCTGAATTTAATCTATTAACGACCAAAACCCGCGCACCGTGTTCGGGGAGGCGCGTTTGTTTTACCCATGAGGGAGCGCTGGGGAAACTGCTGTTCTAGTATACATTCGGCCTTCGTCTTCTTAAATCAGGGGTTAAGTTTGTGCCACAGAGTGCTGCAGCTCGCAGCTCCGTGGAGGCCTCTCGTGGATGATGTCGTCCTCTCCCCATCTGCCCTCTGAACCCAACAGCTTTGATACAGCAGATATGGGAACAGTCACATCCAGCTGTGACACCTCATTTAGTCATTCGGGCAGGCCGGATGTTACATAAAGAAATTAGATTTACAAGCATATTGGGTTTTTTGTCCCCGCAGGCAATCACAGCTAAACCCAAACATTTATGCATAATGTTGACTTAGAAATAATACGGCAGTGAGGAGCACTTTTCCTTACATTCCTTATTAAAATTGAGGTTTTTCAGGTTCAGATTTAGCAAAGACATGCAAATATTCCGTAATTTAAATTACACCAGAAGCAGCCTTCAAAATCAGACCTCTCAGACAGCTGTAGACCGGCAGGCTGTTTGAACCAGTGTGCTCAAATGCATTGAAGTAGCACAAGTGGTTTATTTACATAAAGTAAGATAAATAATACTTTTCTTCTTTCATATCAGACTTAAACATTTAAGGGGGGTTTTACAAGAGAAAGGACACAAAAGGTCAAGTGAGTCATTTCATTTCTCAGAAACCCGAGTGCTTGTTGTGCATGGAAAAAGCTCTCTGTCCCTTAAAAGGCTGATGCAGCGATGTCACGTTAAACTTAAGACTTTATGTACTCAGTTATATGTACGTATGCTCCTGCATGAGGATCCAAGCGCTTCACCTGTATTCATACGAGTCATCTCCTTCGTAACGAAGGCTGCGGGCCGCTTGCCGACACGGGTTGGAAATGTAATTTTAGGACTTTTTCAAGTTATTTATTTAAGCAACCTCTTGACAAACAGACCGCAGCCTTCTGTGAAGAGCCGTTTAGGACTATTGGAAGAACTTGAGACACTACTGAGACACTCTTACACGTACTAATGAAACGCGCTTATGTTCGCTATTGAAATGCTCTCACTACTGAGACACTCACACATACAGTCATACTCTCTATAGTATATGTGCACATGCATATATACTATATCTAAAACAGTGAAACACACGCGCGTGCATACATAGAGTGTCTCAATAGTTAAGTCCTAAGCGGCCTGTTGACACACCGACCACAGAAATGTGGCTCGAACAACTAACTTCTCGTCTGAAAAGCATATCGAGGAAGGCCGCAAGCATTACGCCCTCCGCTGTAACTGAGAGGCCTTCCGTACGCGGGTGAGATTTCATCTATACACACTGGTGAGATTACTCGCATGAACACATGTGAAACGCTTGGACATCCTCATGTGAGAGCATACACCAGGCCAACAGGTCATAATTCTGGCTTTAAACACTCACATGACTCGTAAGGAAACAAACAACTCAGAAAGGGTTTCAGGTCCTTTGGAACAAAACCTTTGTGCACCTGCGTCTACACTTCTACAAGTGTCCACGCGTCCCTTTCTCACAGTCTCAGCTAAAAAAAAAAGCATGAGATGTAAGCCACAAACAAAAATAGCAAGACCTTCATTCAACAGCACCTGTGTGTGTGTGTGTGTGTGTGTGTGTGTGTGTGTGTGTGTGTGTGTGTGTGTGTGTGTGTGTGTGTGTGTGTTATCTGACATGAAACTGAGGCCAAATTAGTACAAACTGTCAGAGGCTTCAAAGAAAAACATCATATCCTCCTGGTTTTGGTAAACACAAACAGATGATAATCTTTACTGTTATCCAGTATTTGTGCGCCTCAGGTTCTGGTGCCTCACACTTTGGTGTTTCCTGTCACAAGATATGAAAAGCGCTGCGGAGGCACAATCTCTCCTTTTACCGCTCAGCCTAAATGAAGACAGCGGAGGGAAAAAGTAAAACATTTGCGGCTTAAAGAAAAGGTGTGCAAAGCGGCAGTAATCCTCCTGTGGTGGAGACGCGCCGCGTCTGCGCAGCGAACGGGCCCGATGTGTCTCGTTGTCTCGTTGGAGGGTCTCAGCTTCTGCACCGCTCACCTCAAAGCCCACTTTCCGTCCCTCGCTGAGATGTTCTAAATGGTCCACCTTCACACACACAAACGCACACACACACACACACACACACACACACCGCACTTTGACACCTGCCCCACAGCCAGGAGAAAACACACGTTTCACATTCGCTGATCACCGATGCTGGAGTCACGGCTCGCGACCACACGGACGCGCTGCACGAGTAAACATTTCTTGCACGCTGCCACAAAATGACATTTTTTTTTTTTCCCTGCGACCTTTTCAGTTTTGTTTACTCATGCGGCGCCTCTCGGTTTGCAGCCGCTCTGACGCGGTTTCATCTGTTTGTGGAAACACGCACTCGGCTCGATTTATGAGTTGTTGTGATGTTTATCAAAAAGGTTTGTGCAAAAGCACGTTTAATGTCAAAAAAAAAACAAGCCACTGAATTCTCGTGTATTCTCATAGTGAAAGAAAGGCTGTGACTGATTTGATGTGGGGTGTTGGGGGCGGAATATGTGTGAAAATGAGAAAATCCTTCTAATAAGTAGATTCATTTAAGTTTACCATCAAAATGAACAGGAGTTGACAGGTTTGTCTACAAACCAATTTAAACAATGTTTGTGATTAACACCACTGATAAAGATCACACACCATTTGGTGGTTGCGGTGCCACAGAACCACCAGGTTCAGTATTATTTAAGACATGGCAACTAGTGGTTTATTGCTTTATTCCGGACGACGATAATTACAGCCATGATGATCACAATAGTAACATCATGTATATGACATTCAAGTAAACCGCTGGGAGCCGCAAGGTTGGCGGTTCGAGTCCCGGCTGCTCCATGTCTCATGTCCAAGTGTCCCTGAGCAAGACACCTAACCCCTAATTGCTCCCCGGGCAAAAATGTAAATAGCCATGCGTTAAAAATGAATAAAAGCGTCAGCTAAATGACCTGTAATGTAACGTTATAAGAAATGTACAAAATTGAAAAAGATATATTTACATTAAAAATACATGTAAGGGTCCAATCCAGTTCATTTTCGTGCCAATAAAAGACAAACAAATTCAGACTTTTGTTTTTCTCTGTACATTCAAACAGAGCTGGGTGTTTTGTTGGCAATTCATGGAATTGCCACAACAGTCTTTCACCCAGACACGAGGAGACGTCGCAGGTCTTGGCTGAGGGACATATCCTCGCATGCATCACTTGGAGCGATGCAGACTCATCGTCTGGTTTCAGGCCGCTCGCCTGCACGCCGACATCTTCAGCGTCTGATTGTTGCACGCATGTCCTCATAAACATCATTGCCAGGGACGCGCTGCGGTTTCCTTGGTGTGCACATCTTCAACAACAGATGGGATTACACAATGAGTAGGATATTATTACATCATTATTATATCATTAACCTTGTTATTCGGTGTTCATCTTTGCATCAGGACATTTTGTAAGACTCAGACAAAGAGGACTTGTGGTTTTATTTCAAGAAAAAACTACCCCCCCCTTGAGTTTTTACTCAACGTGTTCATCGCAAAACAATTGTCACAAAATGAAAGCTAAAGTTTAGATTGTTTTCAACCCAAATGCATTGTCTTTGTGGTTGCTTGTCATATGGGTTGTCACACCGCCCATCAAAGTGTTGCGTTGAGGTGTTGCATGTGCAACCAGCGGGCACTGCTGAGTTGGAGTGTGCAGAACCTACGTTTGCCATCACCGTACCTCAGGTAGTGAATGTGTGGAGCCCAGTTGATTCGTCTACTATCGTTAGGCCTGTTCATTTGTTCTGTATGCTGCTTTATACGCCGGCTTTAAGAAACATTACATGTTATTGACGCTAATAAGTGCATTTCAACCATAAGGATACGAACTCCAAAGAACAAGAAACAAGAAAGTGCAATTTCATGGCTCATGATGCAGTGAGTTATGTATTTGTCAACTTGTCAGTGAAATTCAACTTTCAAATTTTATTCCGGCACTTTGCCTGTATTCGGCCCGTTAAAATAGCATTGTGACCACCATCCCCACGATGGGGTTGTCACCATGCGGCAGAGAGTTCTTTATGGGTAATTACCTCTTTGTTAAGATTAGTCGTTGGAAAATGAGAGATACACGTTTCAAGCTAACATTGTAAGCTTCAACTTAATGGAATGACCATTCTAAGATGTTTGGATGATGAGCGAGTCGCACTACAGTAAATAGTGTAACGCTGAAGAAACAAACACACACACACACACACACACATAGGCCAAAGCACACGGTACCTTGCGGATGATCCATATGAGGAAGCCTAAGATGAGCAACAGCAGGACGGCCCCACAGATCAAAAGCGACACCAGGGTCAAATTGTCGTTTGGCTCCTCACACCTCATCGTATCTGTTGTTAATGGAAAGTGTGTTCAGCCCCGACATGGAGAATGCTTTGCCCTTTTTGAACCAGTAATATATTGTCTGTGGCATCTTGGGGATTGTAAGTGATTTTCCATTTGGGGTGAAATATCCTAAAACTATCAAAACATTGTTTTGGTAAAATTGCACAAATTCCATTCAAGAAGGAATTGCAATAAAGAACGTGTTAAAATAAATGTTTCTCTACCGGCCTCTACTGAATGTGCAATTATTTTGTTTTTCTCTTTTGTGTTTTTTTCACCTTTTTTTCTAAATTAGGTTTTCATGGAAGTCAAGTCAAAAACGGTTTCATTTGCAATGAAGCGAACGGGAGCCGTTTAATCAAATAAAAATCATCACGAAGCACTATGTGAAATCTTAATTCCCTGAATATAATTGTCTATTAATATTTGAAGTATTGTGTGGCTGTCACCTCTGAAGCTAACTTACAGCTTCCTGCTTAAAATGAATTGTTGCACCATGTTGTAATGCAAACTCTATATTCTACTATATTCTTCTATATTTCGTGAGTACACGGGAACGGAGAGGCTCACCTGTCACCACCAGGAGCACCGACCCATTTCCCAGCATCTCAGTATCGTACTCGCACCAGTACGCTCCTGTGTCGTCCGAGGTCAGGTTTTTGATGATAATGTCGATGTCGGGGAATTCTCCAGTCAACTGAAGTCTGCCTGAGAATTCTGAGGCAATGGTTTCTTTTCTTGATTTGCCATGTACGTTCAAGATTTGGGCCTCACTCTTCCTCAGACTCAGGGACGTCTGGCCTTCTTCAGGAGGCCGGCAGCCGATGGTTACGTTTCCTCCAACATCTTTCCACTCCACTCCGCTGCTCCCTACAGACAGAAAAACAGCACCCATGTTGAATTGTCCTGTCTCGTCTCGCGTTGTATTTCACACGGCTTTACGCCTGCGTGTTTGATCCCTCGTTCTCGTGGTCAGTCTTACCTGGGCCGCTCAGGGCCGTGCAGCAGAGACAGAAGGTGGTCACCAGCTTCAAATGGAGAGCAGACATGCTGACTGTCACACGCATGAGTTGTGACTGTTTAAAACCACACCACCGACGTGAACTACATCAAGGCGGCGATGTCATCACGCGGCGCAGATGTGTTGTAATGTTTGCGGCTCGTACAGGAAGTGTGGATGAACGAGTGAGTTCCCTTGTTGTTTTGAGAGCCTGCACTAGCGGAGGAGGTTCAAACGCGTCAGATGACAATCAGAGTGCGTTGAAGTCTGGTTCTATTGTCAGAAGTAGAGCTTTTAATTGAGTTGTCACAACGGTTAAACTCTTTAAAGTGTGTGTTGATAAATTAACAGTACAATGTACTTTATGTTTTAAAGATGAGTTCACGTTTAGATTAGATCACATATAGACGTTAATGAATACGATGCCGACAAATAACATGTTTTTGTACAAAGGAGGAGAAACCACCTCATTGGCTGCAGAATACACAGACTCACCTAATTAAGCAGTTGTGCACACGGGTTCTTATAATTCTACGCAGACGGACACAAAGAAAAAATCTCAATCACAATCTCAGGGATGCGAAAGCTTTGTGGACATTAAACATGAAACAAGTCTCACCTGGACCACCGACGGAAGACAAAGGAATTTTTTGAGCTTCAACCAGACAACATACATGATTACGAATAACAGATTTTTAAAAATTTGTAAAAAACAGTTTTCACTTTGTCATTATGGGTTCTTGTGTGTAGACTGTTGAGGAAAATAATGAATTTAATCAATTTTGGAATAAGGCTGAAACATAACAAAATGTGTATGTGCATCTTTAAAAGAGAGTGTAAGAAACCTTTTTTGCTGAGGCATCAGATTTCTACAAAAACATGTGAAACTGCGTGCGAGAATAAAATAATTTATGCAACACGATATTTTCCAGCTCTAATCTGAGCTGCAATAATATCACACATGGCATGAAATAGTTTATCATCCTGACAAAAAACAGATTATCCATCAAATATTTTTTCCTCCCATAACTGATAAAAGACATTAGATTGTTCATCAGATCTCCCTAAAGCATCAGACACAACGAGTAACATGAACATCCGACAACATAAACATGTTTTTGAGAGCTTGTCAATGCATATTCCTCACTGAAAGTAGGTAAAGGTTTAGCTTTTAGTCGTGCACAGAGGGCGGGAGACCTTTGATTTGCACTGTATGCATTGCCCTCTGGTGGCAGTCGTGTTAACCATTCAGATAAAATACAGTTTGAGGCTAAAACTGCCAATAAGTGGAGTCTGCTGTGACTAAACTAGACTGAGCTTTTACAACATAGTTGAAATAGAGACATTCTGAAATTTATTTAAAATCATATGATGAGCCCATCTCAGCTCAATGAATCATCTAGAAGTTAAAACACTACAATAAATATATAGCATCGTTTTTTGCATCCCGACTGTTTCCCAAAGTACCCTCCCGTATATTCAGGACACAGTGAAATCATGTGTTTTGCTCACAAGGTTTTACAACGTAAGCCATAAGATGCCGACCATTGTCCTTCGAAGCAGGAGTGACCTGAACAACCTATTAAATTTTCACCTGAGAGAATTGTAAACATCAATCACATCAATAAAAGGCTTTCATTGTCTTTGGAGATCTATTCAAGAACCCTTCCTGCTTCCTGTTCAGGGCTTCTGGTGGGCGGAAAGCGTTTTATATTTTTTTAGACTGCGAGACAATCCGGAGGCCAATTATCTCTTCACACGACAATATAATAACTTTGCTTGTGGTGCACAATGTCAGTAGAGAAAAGTATTTCTGCTAAGCATCCCATTAATAGCGTATTCCTCATACAACTCTCCTGTCTCCTCAAGTGCTGAGTCAGTGCAGTGTGACCGAATGGGATCATTGATTGGCTGATTGCTTCGCCATGTCCCTCGGAGATGACTCACCTCGTCTTCTCCGCGCTCTCACATCCTTTTCCCCCTCAGGGAGGCTCCGGGGAACACACACGCCTCATCTGGAGTGCACGTGGCATCATGGCCCCGGTCGATACATGGAAGTTGCAAATGAGCGTGTGTGCTCAGACATTAATCACAGACATTGGTTCAAATGACCGGGCATATGGCTGAGGGGGAGGAAAATGGTAATCTCCCGTCTCTCTAGAAAGATTAGCAGGATGATCATGGGGGGGGGGGTGGGGGGTCGACAGAATAGTCTGTTTCTAATGAGGTTTTACTGATGAGCTGTTGACCTGGAGAAAAGAGCAAACGGCAGGGTTGCATTTGTGTAGAGTGAAGTAGAAATTTTGAACCAAAAATGAGTCTTCTACCAATGAAAAAGCCACAGAGATCTTTTCTGAATGCTTGTCAAACCGCGCAGGACTTCCCCCGGTGGGTACGGCACTTAGCCAAAGACAAGCTTTCATTGACTGCCCTCCAACATATACTGGCGCGTCTCCAGGGCAGGAAGTTCTTTTCTTGATCTTAGGTGACCTCTGCATGCCTTTCGCGGCCGACGAGGGCTGAAGCACACCGCTGCTGCAAAATATATGGCGGAAAAGCCAACGGCGAGCTCGGGAAGAACACCAAACTAAACGTGGGGTCAGCTGGGGACCCGTGAACATAACCGCCGTTCCCAGTTATTTCTAAAGATTGTGTTATTGCTGCTGAAAGATCCTCCAGCTACACACAGAGTCAACAAAGCAGGCACTTGGTTAGAGGTCATAGAGCAGGGGTGTCAAACTCATTTCGCATCGTGGGCCACATACGGCCTAGGGAGATGTCAAGTGGGCCGGACCATTAAAATTATACCATACTCTGCTATAAATAACCAAAATATCATGTCTTTCCTTTGTTTTGGTGTAAAGAAGCACAAGAACATTAGGAAAATATTGAAATTTAATGAACTATCCTTTTACAAAACATTTCATGAAACACCTCATATTTCCTTAGACAAATGTGCAATTTACTTTTATCATTCACAAATATGCATTGCAACTGATCCCACTGATTGTACAAAGGCACAAAACTTTAATTGGTACTGAAAAATATAGTAATGCACTTTAAGATTAAATGAGACTTTTAAAGAAAGGAATTTTTAAACCACTTACACATACGCATATAAAATCTAAATGTAATCCCTGCGTACACCTTACAAACTAAGGAGAGTGATTTTAAATGTGTAATGAAGAAAGTGTTCGCCTGTCCTGTAAATCTGTAAACTTCATACATGAAACATACATACACATACAATACATACTGAAAATTTATGGAGTTGTATGAACAGTAGAATTCCATCACACAACTTTTGTTTTGAAGCTTGTTGGGGTTTTAAGTAGAAGTGAATGTCTAGTCATAGAATTTGTAGTACGTGTAATGATGTTTAGTGATAGAATTGTAGTTTGTGTGATGTTAGATTAGTTATTACATTAACATGTTAGATGAAGTGAATACAATGTGAATCAAACACAGTTTATAGTCTTTTAAATCGTAGAAACACTGTACACATTTACATTCTGTTACAATGTGATGTTAAAACCTGGGGACGGATGCCAATTGCCGTTCTTTATGGATTTCTCCCAATTTAATCCCCAAAAAGGGTTTTTTGGGAGTTTTTTCTCCTGTCAGGTAATAAAATGAACAACTTATTGCAAGGCAGCCGACTGAGGCAAATGTCTTGAGAATTGAACCACATGAACTGTCTTAGATCTTATGATGAAGGGTGATGAACGAGGATCATTAATGATGGGTTGTTGTAATTAAAGTGTACTAGTTATAAGATGAAGACTTAAACGATGTATGCTTTGTTGGGTTCACTCATTGAGGCATAAAGCCACTTTATCTGCATTGAGTGCATTGGAATGTGAGGGACAGCTAGGACAGAGAGGTTTCAGGTTACAGCTGCAGCTTCACACCTCGACGTGGAAGGGACAATGGAGGAGGTGACCCTTTGGAGAAGAGGCCAATGACATTCAAATGCACCAAAGAAGACACACCTCAAGAGTTTTCAAAGGACCATGGCGGGGAAAAGACTGTTAGAACTTCTCCTGCAGCCGCGTTGATAAGTCACTTCAGACTAGCTCAGAGGATTCTCTATTTCGCGAAATATTCCACTGTTCGCTTAGTATTTCACTTTGTAATTGTAATCCCTATTACGTTGTTCAGTTATTAAATAACTTTTGATTTTTGAATTTAAACGAATTGACTCATTCGTGTCCTCGTTTCCGGCCGGGACGAGAACAAAGGATTGAGTCCTCCCTCGAGAGCTTCCGAAACCTTAACAAGCTGCTGACTAACATTAAAGTGCACATTTTTTAAATCACCACAGTAAGGATTCATCTTCACAGAGCTGTATTCTTTCAATGCAAACAGTATCCAAGGCAGCATTTTAAAGGTGTTAGTCTAGTCTGGACTTGTATTTGTTCCTGAAACTTGGCATCTTTTGGCCTGTACAAGTGCATCAACACCAGGTGTCATGTCCTGACTAGCTGTCACTTTCAGAATGTCATTTAAGTGCTTGTTTGTGAGCCTTGAACGCATTTTTGTTTTATTGATATTCATCACTGAGAAAATTTGTTCACAAAGGTAGGTTGTCCCAAACATGCACAACATTTTAGCAGCCAGGGCTGTTAATTTGGGGTACCCTGGTAGTAGATACTGATAAAATCTGTCCAGACCTACAGAGGCAAATTTGCCCTTCAAATCTGCATCACACTGCAAATCAATTATCTCTACCTGAATTTCGACCGGCAGATCAGAAGCTTTAACTGTGAAAGGTGAGTGTCTGTGATGTCAGTGCTCTCGTCAATTGCCACGGAAAATGCAATAAATGACTTGACTCTCTGTTTCAATTGACTGTCTAAATCTGCCGATAGTTCCGAAATCCTCTCTGCTATAGTATTCCTCGTCAGGCTAATATTGGCAAAAGCTTGTCGCTTCTCGGGACATACAAGTTCAGCCGCCTTCATCATGCATCGTTTAACAAAGTCACCGTCGGAATACGGCTTCGATGCTAATGCTATTTCGCTAGCAATTAGGTAGCTGGCTTTTACCGCTGCTTCACTGACTTCTCGGCTCTTGATGAAAGTTGACTGCTGTTTCCTCAGACCCGCCAGCAATTCGTTAATCTTATCTCTTCTCAGTTGTCCTTGCAAGCCGTCATATTTTTCGCTGTGATAAGTCTCGTAGTGGAGTCGAATATTATATTCCTTCAATACCGAAACTTGTTGCAAACACACCAAGCACAAAGGTTTTCCGTGCATCTCTGTAAATAAATAGGACGTGGTCCATTTTTCTTTGAAAATTCTACACTCCTTATCTACTTTTCTCCGTTTGAATAACAACCTTTTGGCTAATGAGGGTGTAGCGGAGAGGTAGAGACCAAGGTATTAACAACGTCGTAACAAGCAGCAGATGGCGCATTGATACCGTCTGCTGTTTTCAGTCTGTCTCAGTGATGCGGCTTGTCTTCTACTCTGAAGAAAAGAGTGCGCCCCTTAGCGGATAATCCATGAATTGCAGCGAATTAAAAATATTAATTCCATGTCTTTTATGGATTTTTTCCACTTTCAAATTATCCTGCGGGCCTGATCGAACCTCCTTGGGGGCCGGTTCCGGCCCGCGGGCCGTATGTTTGACACCCCTCTCATAGAGTAAGAAATATTCACACAAAAAAAATCCTATCTGGGATTGAATTTCTACGATAATCACTCTTGTCTCAGTCGGTCTGGTAATTACAGCTGCTGTTATAAAATAAACAGGGAGGGGTATTCTGGCATCAGTACGGCTGGAACAGCTGAATGGCTCACATGCATAAATGCACCACATAGAGGTGACCACATCTCAGTTTTACTTTTTATGTCACAATGCAGACAGGATAAAAAGTCTCTCCAACAATTTGAAATACAATTTATTCATTAACAGAAAGTAACCAAAATAAATATGATCGCTTGCTCGTTTGTCATAATTCCCCAATCGTCACGCAGCTCAAAAAAAGGAGGTCCAAGATACATTCCCCCAAAACTACGCGGTGTCTGAATATATGAAAAGAAAACTATTTTGTGTAAAGCACAAAAAACTTAAAAGCACTTCATGGAGTGCTGTCAAAGGTTTCATAAGTAACGTTACATCTTGATGAATCATTCACCATTTGGATCAGACTTTAAATGCAACTCCCTTTGTAGACCAGTCAGACTGCAAAGAGCTGAATATCTAGCCTGTGATGTCATGATAAGACCTCCTTTGGCAGAATAGGGGTGTGTGTAGGGGGAAGGGGGGGGTCAGGGTTTTTGTGATTACTTTGGCTGGGCAGATCTCCAGCCAACCCGTCTCTGCTCTCGACAGCAGGAGTTCTGTCTTCATTCGACTGTACTAAATAATATTCAGCTGTGTGGTTCTATAACTATTCACACACAAGAAAAATCAAGCTTAGAGTTTCTGTGACTACTTGCCTCAATCTACAGTATTTTAAAACAGATTCCTTCCAATCCCCAATATTTAGATTAGCTGTTTTTCTATTTGCACAACCAAATAAAAAGCCACCAGTCACAGCAAATTCATATCAATCTTTATTGTATTTAGAAATCCACGCATCAAATCCTTTTTATTATTTTTTCCTTTACCATGTACAAGAGGAGGAATGAGGGACAAGCTAAACGTCATGCCTTTCCCAGCAGGCGCGATGCACTACAGGATGGGCTGAAATGGAGGAGGAGGTGGAGGGGGGAGGGGGAGGACGGGCGGGAGGGCAAGAGAGATACATAAAGTGCTTTTGTCAACAGTTTTCTTTTTTTTTTTATTTCATGATGCAGTGAGTTATGTATTTGTCAACTTGTCAGTGAAATTCAACTTAAGCTCCAACTTAATGGAATGACCATTCAAAGATGTTTGGATGATGAGCGAGTCGCACTACAGTAAATAGTGTAACGCTGAAGAAACAAACACACACACACACACACACACACACACACACACACACACATAGGCCAAAGCACACGGTACCTTGCGGATGATCCATATGAGGAAGCCTAAGATGAGCAACAGCAGGACGGCCCCACAGATCAAAAGCGACACCAGGGTCAGATTGTCGTTTGGCTCCTCACACCTCATCGTATCTGTTGTTAATGGAAAGTGTGTTCAGCCGCGACATGGAGAATGCTTTGCCCTTTTTGAACCAGAATTATATTGTCTGTGGCATCTTGGGGATTGTAAGTGATTTTCCATTTGGGGTGAAATATTCTAAAACTATCAAAACATTGTTTTGGTAAAATTGCACAAATTCCATTCAAGAAGGAATTGCAATAAAGAACGTGTTAAAATAAATGTTTCTCTACCGGCCTCTACTGAATGTGCAATTATTTTGTTTTTCTCTTTTGTGTTTTTTTCACCTTTTTTTCTAAATTAGGTTTTCATGGAAGTCAAGTCAAAAACGGTTTCATTTGCAATGAAGCGAACAGGAGCCGTTTAATCAAATAAAAATCACCACGAAGCACTATGTGAAATCTTAATTCCCTGAATATAATTGTCTATTAATACTTGAAGTATTGTGTGGCTGTCACCGCTGAAGCTAACTTACAGCTTCCTGCTTAAAATGAATAGTTGCACCATGTTGTAATGCAAAGTCTATATTCTACTATATTCTTCTATATTTTGTGAGTACACAGGAACAGAGAGGCTCACCTGTCACCACCAGGAGCACCGACCCATTTCCCAGCATCTCAGTATCGTACTCGCACCAGTACGCTCCTGTGTCGTCCGAGGTCAGGTTTTTGATGATAATGTCGATGTCGGGGAATTCTCCAGTCAACTGAAGTCTGCCTGAGAATTCTGAGGCAATGGTTTCTCTTCTTGATTTGCCATGTACGTACAAGATTTGGGCCTCACCCTTCCTCAGACTCAGGGACGTCTGGCCTTCTTCAGGAGGCCGGCAGCCGATGGTTACGTTTCCTCCAACATCTTTCCACTCCACTCCGCTGCTCCCTACAGACAGAAAAACAGCACCCATGTTGAATTGTCCTGTCTCGTCTCGCGTTGTATTTCACACGGCTTTACGCCTGCGTGTTTGATCCCTCGTTCTCGTGGTCAGTCTTACCTGGGCCGCTCAGGGCCGTGCAGCAGAGACAGAAGGTGGTCACCAGCTTTAAATGGAGAGCAGACATGCTGACTGTCACACGCATGAGTTGTGACTGTTTAAAACCACACCACCGACGTGAACTACATCAAGGCGGCGATGTCATCACGCGGCGCAGATGTGTTGTAATGTTTCGCGGCTCGTACGGGAAGTGTGGATGAACGAGTGAGTTCCCTTGTTGTTTTGAGAGCCTGCACTAGCGGAGGAGGTTCAAACGCGTCAGATGACAATCAGAGTGCGTTGAAGTCTGGTTCTATTGTCAGAAGTAGAGCTTTTAATTGAGTTGTCACAACGGTTAAACTCTTTAAAGTGTGTGTTGATAAATTAACAGTACAATGTACTTTATGTTTTAAAGATGAGTTCACGTTTAGATTAGATCACATATAGACGTTAATGAATACGATGCCGACAAATAACATGTTTTTGTACAAAGGAGGAGAAACCACCTCACTGGCTGCAGAATACACAGACTCACCTAATTAAGCAGTTGTGCATACGGGTTCTTATAATTCTACGCAGACGGACACAAAGAAAAAATCTCAATCACAATCTCAGCGATGCGAAAGCTTTGTGGACATTAAACATGAAACAAGTCTCACCTGGACCACCGACGGAAGACAAAGGATTTTTTTGAGCTTCAACCAGACAACATACATGATTACGAATAACAGATTTTCAAAAATTTGTAAAAAACATTTTTCACTTTGTCATTATGGGTTCTTGTGTGTAGATTGTTGAGGAAAATAATGAATTTAATCCATTTTGGAATAAGGCTGAAACATAACAAAATGTGGAAAAAGTGAAGCGCTGTGAATACTTTCCGGATGCACTGTATGTGCATCTTTGTGCAGTGTAAGAAACCTTTTTTGCTGAGGCATCAGGTTGCCGACCATTGATGCCGACCATTGCAACTTTTTTTGCTGAGGCATCAGGTTTCTACAAAAACATGTGAAACTGCGTGCGAGAATAAAATAATTTATGCAACACGATATTTTCCAACTCTAATCTGAGCTGCAATAATATCACACATGGCATGAAATAGTTTATCATCCTGACAAAAAACAGATTATCCATCAAATATTTTTTCCTCCCATAACTGATAAAAGACATTAGATTGTTCATCAGATCTCCCTAAAGCATCAGACACAACGAGTAACATGAACATCCGACAACATAAACATGTTTTTGAGAGCTTGTCAATGCATATTCCTCACTGAAAGTAGGTAAAGGTTTAGCTTTTAGTCGTGCACAGAGGGCGGGAGACCTTTGATTTGCACTGTATGCATTGCCCTCTGGTGGCAGTCGTGTTAACCATTCAGATAAAATACAGTTTGAGGCTAAAACTGCCAATAAGTGGAGTCTGCTGTGACTAAACTAGACTGAGCTTTTACAACATAGTTGAAATAGAGACATTCTGAAATTTATTTAAAATCATATGATGAGCCCATCTCAGCTCAATGAATCGTTTAGAAGTTAAAACACTACAATAAATATATAGCATCGTTTTTTGCATCCCGACTGTTTCCCAAGGTACCCTCCCGTATATTCAGGACACAGTGAAATCATGTGTTTTGCTCACAAGGTTTTACAACGTAAGCCATAAGATGCCGACCATTGTCCTTCGAAGCAGGAGTGACCTGAACAACCTATTCAATTTTCACCTGAGAGAATTGTAAACATCAATCACATCAATAAAAGGCCTTCATTGTCTTTGGAGATCAATTCAAGAACCCCCCAACCTGCTCTTTCTGTCTTCCTCTGGGACAGATTTAAAAATGGTAAATGGTAAATGGACTGTACTTGTGTAGCGCTTTTCTAGTCTTCCAACCACTCAAAGCGCTTTAACACTACATGACATCATTCACCCATTCACACCCATTCATACACTGATGACAGGAGAACCATACACAGTGACACCTGCCCATCAGTAACTAACATTCACACACTGTAGTCACAGCTACAGGAACAATGTTGGGTTAAGTGTCTTGCCCAAGGACACAACAACATGCAGGTTAGCTGGGCCTGGGATTGAACCCACAACCCTCTGATTTGTCTTCCGTCGGTGGTCCAGGTGAGACTTGTTTCACGTTTAATGTCCACAAAAATTTCGCATCGCTGAGATTGTGATTGAGATTTTTTCTTTGTGTCCGTCTGCGTAGAATTATAAGAATTATAAGTACACACAAAGAGTCAACAAAGCAGGCACTTGGTTAGAGGTCTGAGTAAGAAATATTCACACAAAAAAAATCCTATCTGGGATTGAATTTCTACGATAATCACTCTTGTCTCAGTCGGTCTGGTAATTACAGCTGCTGTTATAAGATAAACAGGGAGGGGTATTCTGGCATCAGTACGGCTGGAACAGCTGAATGGCTCACATGCATAAATGCACCACATAGAGGTGACCACATCTCAGATTTACTTTTTATGTCTGTTAGCAGAGATGGTTCGCTCAACGGTCCCGGCGTTCATACCCAATGCTAGGCCGAATATTATCGCAGTACAAATAACACAAGTGGAGCATCATGGCTGTTTGACTTGAACTGAGTCGTCTTTATTGAACGCAGATCCATTTGACCTCTCCTAGGTCACATGTCCATTCAGGGGCATCCTATTGGCCACCACTTAACACACAATACTGTATATAATGTATAGGAAAGTAAATACAACAGATTGTGACAATGGAGGGCATATACTCATATATGTTAACACCCCCACTTGCTCTCACATTGGTACATACTCTAACAAACAAACAAACAAATAAAAAAATAAAAAACATTAAGGCCCTTCTGCCTTTATCATGCACATTACTTCACATACGTGGTTAGTTTTCCAAACATGAACTTTGCAAACTTAGTCAACTTAGACTGTGTAACAGGTTTTGTCATCACATCTCTTTTGTGACATCTTAACACATCCATCACTTTGGTCAAAAACAATACCCAGAAAATGTCTGAGTTTTCCCAAGTCTTTCATTTTAAATGGTGCTGAGAGCATCTCCTTCACAACCTTCAGTGCGTTTTCATCACTGGCACCAATGATTATGTCATCAACCCATATTAAGATGATCACCTTTTCTTTTTCGGTCTCCTTTGTGTAAACACAATGATCAGAAGGATTTTGCACAAAGTTGTTTTCACTCAAATACTCGTGCAGTAACTTGTTCCAATTTCTGCCTGATTGTTTGAGTCCGTACAACGACCTTTTCAGCTTGCATACCAACTTTGTATCTGTGCCAGATTTGACCTCATAACCTTCTGGCTGTTCCATATAGATATCAAAATCTATTGGTGCATGCAGGTAGGCTGTTTTGACATCCATCTGATGTAAGATCAAGTCTTCTTGCACCGCTTTTTGCATCAAGACTCTGATACTAGTCAGGTTGGCAGTAGGAGAAAAAGTCTCCTCATAATCCACTCCTTTCCTCTGACTGTATCCCTTGGCAACATAGCGTGCCTTGTACTTTTCTGACCCATCTGCATTGTTTTTAATAGCATACACCCATCTACCCCCCACTGCTTTCCTGTCCTCTGGTAAGTTTGTATGGGTAAATGTGTCATTTTCTTTTAATGATTGTAACTCCTCATCCATCGCATTAACCCATTCCTCTGATTGGGGTGAGGTTACAGCTTCTCGCAATGTTAAAGGAACGTTAGACGCTACTCTATAACAATAGTCTATGTTAGTGAGTACTTGATCATCACTTTCTTCGTCTCCTGACACATATTCACTCAAGTACTCTGGTTTCTTCCTCTCTCTTGAAGGGTATCTCTTTTGCTCAAGTGTCTGTGTGTGGTTGTGTACTTCAAGCATAGGAACTGGTACCTGGTCTTGTGTATGGGCTGGACTCACATCAGTATTTTTACTGGTAACTCTATGCTGCAGCTCAAAGTCATCATCGACAGGTGTCATGTCAGTCTGTGTCTGTTTCTCCGTGTTTGTTTTGTTGATAAACTTCACCAGTCTATGCTTCTGCACTTTTCCAGTGTCAGAAAAATAAACCATATAGGCTGGACTGTTCTTGTCGTATCCAACAAAAATCCCCTTTTCACACCTTGCGTCCAATTTTCTCTTGTCCTGTTTGTAAGCATAACACTCTGAACCAAATTTCTGCATTCTGGACAAGTTAGGTTGTTTCCCTTTAAGCAGTGAGTAAGGCGTCTGCTTTGTGCGGTTGTTAAACCATCTGTTCCTCACTACAGCAGCTGTCTAGACTGCGTACGTCCACAGCTCTTTTGGTAGCTTACTGTCCAATAGCAAACACCTGGCCATGTCAAATAGTGTGCGCCAGTTTCGTTCAGCAGTACCATTTTGATGTGGCGAGTATGGGGCTGAGGTCTCATGCCTAATGCCATTTCTGCTGAGTAGTGCTTGGTAATGTTTCCCCGTAAACTCAGTACCGTTGTCAGACCTGATACACTTTATCTTGCCATATGGCGCTGTGTCGGCAGGAAACCTTTCTGTTGCCTGCACTGTGTCATTCTTATTTTTCAGAAAGTACACAAATACTGCACTGGAAAAATCATCAGTGAATGATAATGCGTACCTATACCCATCTCTGGACACTGGGTCTATAGGTCCTGCTACATCCGTGTGCACCAGCTCTAAGGGTGCTTTTGCCCTTACATCAGCCTCCCTGTTCCTAGTTTGGGTAAACTTTCCCTGGGTGCAGACTTCACAATGTAGGGCTGACATGTCTGTTTTACCTTTGATTGTCATACCGTCAACAACATGTTGTAGTTTCTGAACATCATCATAATTACAGTGCCCTAAGATTTCATGCCATGTCTGCATATCGTATACTCCCTTACATTGGTCTTCACACTCACCATTCACTGTATGTAAGTAGTACAGTCTGTTATACTCATGGATGTTGAATCTTGCACCGTCTCTACATATCAGGGCATCTTCTCCTTGCTTGAAGACTACAGTTGCTCCACTGACAGTCGCTGCTTTAACAGAAAATATGTCCTGCGGGTAAGAGGGGATGTACAACGCCCTCTTCAGCGTCGCGTTTTGATGTTGTCCTCTGCTGTCAATCAAGCAGACCTCTGCATCTCCTCTGCGCTCCCCAACTCCGTTGGTCTTTTCACCGTTGGCTAACTCCACACAATGTTTCAGTGGTTGGAACGTGTCGTCAAAATTCCTGAACTTTGAAATATCATTGATGATATGTGAGGTTGCACCTGTGTCCACCATTAGTCCTTTCTTATTAGCACTGCGAGCTCCCTGCTTCACTTCATCCGTGTCGCTCACCCGGAAAGCATACTCGTTGTCTCTCTCCTCCTCGGAAACTTCGTCGTCCTGCTGGTATCTCCGTCTGCAGGTGACATCCCGGTGTGTGGCGCTTTTACAGTAACTACACCACTGCTTGCGTTGACACGATCTAGCTTTGTGTCCTTTCAGGCCACATCTGTAACATACAATGTCCGCACTCTCGGTTCCATGGTCACTTGTAGGTCTACTGGTTGACGCAGGTTGCATTTTCGCCTTCATCACGTTGTCGCCCGACTCAGTGGTGCGCATTTTCTTAGTAGCCTCGTAGCTCCGCAGTTTAGTTTTGAACTCCGCAAAAGACGTGTTCGCATCACTCTGTGTAACATGAACAGCGAACGGTCCATAAGACTCTGGCAGGCCCTTCAAAATCATTGCCACTAGCAGTCCGTCGCTTAACGTTTCACCGGCGTTTCTCAATGCTGTGATAGTGGTCTCTGCACGTATAACATATTCAGTCACGCTTTCGGTACTTAACTTTTGAAGTGAAGTCAGTTCGGTATACAGGCATATTACCCTGGGTTTTCCTTTTCCAGCATAGTAGTCTCTCAAAATCTTCAGTGCTCCTCGGCCATTGTCCGCTGCATCTCTCATTACCAGCGACAAACTTTTATCATCGAGAAACTGAATCAGCTCCGCGTATGCCTCAGCATTTTTATCTTCCTCTTCATCATCTCCACCGTCTGGCTCGTTTAGAATAATGTCCTTTAAACCTTGTAGCCGGAGATGACCCAAAAATTTCGTCTCCCACAGTTCGTAGTTCCTTTCATCTCCGTCAAAAACCAGCCGTGACCATCGGCCACTTGACTCGTAGGCTCTTCTGCTCATGGCGCTAGCTTAGCATGCTAACTCACCGGACACGCGGTACGTCGCGACTTTTCTCTCGGTGATTACTCGTTGGAAACTCTCTGGGTAACTCTGGGCCCATAACCTGTTAGCAGAGATGGTTCGCTCAACGGTCCCGGCGTTCATACCCAATGCTAGGCCGAATATTATCGCAGTACAAATAACACAAGTGGAGCATCATGGCTGTTTGACTTGAACTGAGTCGTCTTTATTGAACGCAGATCCATTTGACCTCTCCTAGGTCACATGTCCATTCAGGGGCATCCTATTGGCCACCACTTAACACACAATACTGTATATAATGTATAGGAAAGTAAATACAACAGATTGTGACAATGGAGGGCATATACTCATATATGTTAACAATGTCACAATGCAGACAGGATAAAAAGTCTCTCCAACAATTTGAAATACAATTTATTCATTAACAGAAAGTAACCCAAATAAATATGATCGCTTGCTCGTTTGTCATAATTCCCCAATCGTCACGCAGCTCAAATAAAGGAGGTCCAAGATACATTCCCCCAAAACTACGCGGTGTCTGAATATATGAAAAGAAAACTATTTTGTGTAAAGCACAAAAAACTTAAAAGCACTTCATGGAGTGCTGTCAAAGGTTTCATAAGTAACGTTACATCTTGATGAATCATTCACCATTTGGATCAGACTTTAAATGCAACTCCCTTTGTAGACCAGTCAGACTGCAATGAGCTGAATATCTAGCCTGTGATGTCATGATAAGACCTCCTTTGGCAGAATAGGGGTGTGTGTAGGGGGAAGGGGGGGGTCAGGGTTTTTGTGATTACTTTGGCTGGGCAGATCTCCAGCCAACCCGTCTCTGCTCTCGACAGCAGCAGTTCTGTCTTCATTCGACTGTACTAAATAATATTCAGCTGTGTGGTTCTATAACTATTCACACACAAGAAAAAACAAGCTTAGAGTTTCTGTGACTACTTGCCTCAATCTACAGTATTTTAAAACAGATTCCTTCCAATCCCCAATATTTAGATTAGCTGTTTTTCTATTTGCACAACCAAATAAAAAGCCACCAGTCACAGCAAATTCATATCAATCTTTATTGTATTTAGAAATCCACGCATCAAATCCTTTTTATTATTTTTTCCTTTACCATGTACAAGAGGGAGGAATGAGGGACAAGCTAAACGTCATGCCTTTCCCAGCAGGCGCGATGCACTACAGGATGGGCTGAAATGGAGGAGGAGGGGGGGGGGACGGGCGGGAGGGCAAGAGAGATACATAAAGTGCTTTTGTCAACAGTTTTCTTATTTTAATAGAAAAAAGGATCAAAACAAAAGGTTTGAGGGTGGAGGGAAAGGACGAGGGGGTCCACGGACGTGACGGCGGAGAGTGCATGAGAAGTAAGGACGAAGGTGACGAGTCGATGAGGAGGAAGAGAGTGGTAGGGGTATTTATCTTTTAAAAAATAAAAAAAGCGTTCCAATGAAAAACAAAGACAAAAAAAAAAAAAAAAAACAGGTGGTCTCAACCCAGGATGAGGCTGGACTTGCCACCGGGTGGGTTTCTCCGGCCGCCCGCGGCAGCGTTGGCATCTCCCGACGGGGCGGAGGGCTGTGGCGAGTCCTTCGGCTGCTCGGGCTCCTCTTGCTCCGCCTCCGCATTGTCCGGGGACTCTGCGGGTCGATTCAGAGACAGGACTGAGTGTGTGTGGTGAAACCAACTGAGCAACTGCACTGCAGATGTAAAGGAACCACAGAGCTGGAGCGGCGGGCTCTCCATGTCCATTAGAGCCCAAATCACTGTTGGATTTGCAAACTCAAGGAGGAGCTTGACAACTTAAATGTCACAAATAAGGTCAACATTGATTTTGAAAATCTTCTAAGCATGACGGACACTTAAATATTCAGAGCTCGACACTGAAGCGAGTGGTGCGGTTGCTGTGACAACTGCTTAAATGTTTTAGAACATTTGGTGCTGCAGATTTCAGGACTAGAGAGAGGGTTCAATGTGGATCCAGAAGCTCACATAGTCCAAGTCTGCATGTCAGATTTACTCAGCTCTTTGTACCTGTTCATCAAACATGCACCAGAATGGAGATGACGTGTGCATAATTCAGTGAGAGTGTTTGCAATGCGCAACTTTCTCCCCATCTTATTAAAGGGAGAATCTTGCAAATAATTGGAGGCAAAGTGCTAACAGAGGGTCGTAATACACCTCTGGGAGTAGTATTTTTTTTGGCAAATGAGTTGGATTACATCCAATCTAAACATTTGTTAATAAATGTAACTACCTCATCATTTATTTTCTGAGATTAGTGAGGTCATAGAAACCCCACCTCTGCCCTAGGCCTATAAACCTGTCTTCACTGGTGGCGTTTTCATAAATAATAAATCAGACGCACACATTTGTGCCACGGCATTGTCGGCTCTTTGTTCCACTCACGTCCGCCCTTCTCTCTGTGAATGATGCTCCTTCTAAAGCAACATGTCAAGAAGCAGATTAACTTTACTATGTTGATAAACTGCTTGAAGTCTGTAATATTTCTACCATAAAAAACATTTCAAAAGCATACGCGCTGCAATAACATTTGAAAACCAGACAAATAAGTGAGCTTTTATTTTCTAAACACTCAACCCTCCATTATCTCTCACCAACCTCCACCTGGAGGTTAATAAAAAGCTTTTCTTACTAAGTGAAGCCTGCCATCAAAGAACAGCTGCCTGACTACAGAGCATCGAGCCATCATGACAGGGAAAAACCACATCAAAGACATCATGGGATGTTGACTTAGAAAAGGAGAACATTCGAACTGTATCTTTAAAGGGAAAAAAAGGTAACGGGTGCCAGCAGCACACGGGACGCCACATAGTTTGCGGCAGTGAAAGTCTATATTCTACTATATTCTTCTATATTTTGTGAGTACACGGGAACGGAGAGGCTCACCTGTCACCACCAGGAGCACCGACCCCTTTCCCAGCACCAGCTCAGTATTGTACTTGCACCAGTACGCTCCTGTGTCGTCCGAGGTCAGGTTTTTGATGATAATGTCGATGTCGGGGAATTCTCCAGTCAACTGAAGTCTCCCTGAGAATTCTGAGGCAATGGTTTCTTTTCTTGATTTGCCATGTACGTACAAGATTTGGGCCTCACTCTTCCACAGACTCAGGGTCGTCTGGCCTTCTCCAGGAGGCCGGCAGCCGATGGTTACGTTTCCTCCAACATCTTTCCACTCCACTCCGCTGCTCCCTACAGACAGAAAAACAGCACCCATGTTGAATTGTCCTGTCTCGTCTCGCGTTGTATTTCACACGGCTTTACGCCTGCGTGTTTGATCCCTCGTTCGCGTGGTCAGTCTTACCTGGGCCGCTCAGGGCCGTGCAGCAGAGACAGAAGGTGGTCACCAGCTTCAAATGGAGAGCAGACATGCTGACTGTCACACGCATGAGTTGTGACTGTTTAAAACCACACCACCGACGTGAACTACATCAAGGCGGCGATGTCATCACGCGGCGCAGATGTGTTGTAATGTTTCGCGGCTCGTACGGGAAGTGTGGATGAACGAGTGAGTTCCCTTGTTGTTTTGAGAGCCTGCACTAGCGGAGGAGGTTCAAACGCGTCAGATGACAATCAGAGTGCGTTGAAGTCTGGTTCTATTGTCAGAAGTAGAGCTTTTAATTGAGTTGTCACAACGGTTAAACTCTTTAAAGTGTGTGTTGATAAATTAACAGTACAATGTACTTTATGTTTTAAAGATGAGTTCACGTTTAGATTAGATCACATATAGACGTTAATGAATACGATGCCGACAAATAACATGTTTTTGTACAAAGGAGGAGAAACCACCTCACTGGCTGCAGAATACACAGACTCACCTAATTAAGCAGTTGTGCACACGGGTCCTTATAATTCTACGCAGACGGACACAAAGAAAAAATCTCAATCACAATCTCAGCGATGCGAAAGCTTTGTGGACATTAAACATGAAACAAGTCTCACCTGGACCACCGACGGAAGACAAAGGATTTTTTTGAGCTTCAACCAGACAACATACATGATTACGAATAACAGATTTTCAAAAATTTGTAAAAAACATTTTTCACTTTGTCATTATGGGTTCTTGTGTGTAGATTGTTGAGGAAAATAATGAATTTAATCCATTTTGGAATAAGGCTGAAACATAACAAAATGTGGAAAAAGTGAAGCGCTGTGAATACTTTCCGGATGCACTGTATGTGCATCTTTGTGCAGTGTAAGAAACCTTTTTTGCTGAGGCATCAGGTTGCCGACCATTGATGCCGACCATTGCAACTTTTTTTGCTGAGGCATCAGGTTTCTACAAAAACATGTGAAACTGCGTGCGAGAATAAAATAATTTATGCAACACGATATTTTCCAGCTCTAATCTGAGCTGCAATAATATCACACATGGCATGAAATAGTTTATCATCCTGACAAAAAACAGATTATCCATCAAATATTTTTTCCTCCCATAACTGATAAAAGACATTAGATTGTTCATCAGATCTCCCTAAAGCATCAGACACAACGAGTAACATGAACATCCGACAACATAAACATGTTTTTGAGAGCTTGTCAATGCATATTCCTCACTGAAAGTAGGTAAAGGTTTAGCTTTTAGTAGTGCACAGAGGGCGGGAGACCTTTGATTTGCACTGTATGCATTGCCCTCTGGTGGCAGTCGTGTTAACCATTCAGATAAAATACAGTTTGAGGCTAAAACTGCCAATAAGTGGAGTCTGCTGTGACTAAACTAGACTGAGCTTCTAGAACATAGTTAAAATAGAGACATTCTGAAATTTATTTAAAATCAAATGAGCCCATCTCAGCTCAATGAATTGTCTAGAAGTTAAAACACTACAATAAACATATAGCATCGTTTTTTGCATCCCGACTGTTTCCCAAGGTACCCTCCCGTATATTCAGGACACAGTGAAATCATGTGTTTTGCTCACAAGGTTTTACAACGTAAGTCATAAGATGCCGACCATTGTCCTTCGAAGCAGGAGTGACCTGAACAACCTATTAAATTTTCACCTGAGAGAATTGTAAACATCAATCACATCAATAAAAGGCCTTCATTGTCTTTGGAGATCAATTCAAGAACCCCCCAACCTGCTCTTTCTGTCTTCCTCTGGGACAGATTTAAAAATGGTAAATGGTAAATGGACTGTACTTGTGTAGCGCTTTTCTAGTCTTCCAACCACTCAAAGCGCTTTAACACTACATGACATCATTCACCCATTCACACCCATTCATACACTGATGACAGGAGAACCATACACAGTGACACCTGCCCATCAGTAACTAACATTCACACACTGTAGTCACAGCTACAGGAACAATGTTGGGTTAAGTGTCTTGCCCAAGGACACAACGACATGCAGGTTAGCCGGGCCTGGGATTGAACCCACAACCCTCTGATTGGAGGACGACCGTGCTCCCCACTCACCCACAGTCGCCCCCCCACACAAGGACCCATAATGACAAAGTGAAAACTGTTTTTTACAAATTTTTGAAAATCTGTTATTCGTAATCATGTATGTTGTCTGGTTGAAGCTCAAAAAATTCCTTTGTCTTCCGTCGGTGGTCCAGGTGAGACTTGTTTCATGTTTAATGTCCACAAAAATTTTGCATCGCTGAGATTGTGATTGAGATTTTTTCTTTGTGTCCGTCTGCGTAGAATTATAAGAATTATAAGTACACACAAAGAGTCAACAAAGCAGGCACTTGGTTAGAGGTCAGAGTAAGAAATATTCACACAAAAAAAATCCTATCTGGGATTGAATTTCTACGATAATCACTCTTGTCTCAGTCGGTCTGGTAATTACAGCTGCTGTTATAAGATAAACAGGGAGGGGTATGCCCTCTAGTGGCAGTCGTGTTAACCATTCAGATAAAATACAGTTTGAGGCTAAAACTGCCAATAAGTGGAGTCTGCTGTGACTAAACTAGACTGAGCTTCTAGAACATAGTTAAAATAGAGACATTCTGAAATTTATTTAAAATCAAATGAGCCCATCTCAGCTCAATGAATTGTCTAGAAGTTAAAACACTACAATAAACATATAGCATCGTTTTTTGCATCCCGACTGTTTCCCAAGGTACCCTCCCGTATATTCAGGACACAGTGAAATCATGTGTTTTGCTCACAAGGTTTTACAACGTAAGTCATAAGATGCCGACCATTGTCCTTCGAAGCAGGAGTGACCTGAACAACCTATTAAATTTTCACCTGAGAGAATTGTAAACATCAATCACATCAATAAAAGGCCTTCATTGTCTTTGGAGATCAATTCAAGAACCCCCCAACCTGCTCTTTCTGTCTTCCTCTGGGACAGATTTAAAAAGGTCCCTGTCCATCCCCCTGCTCTTCCATCCTTCAGTCTCATCCGGTTAAAGAGATATAACGTGAGCCGGCGCAGACACCGCCAGGAGGGCTTTTTTGCAACCCCCTTTGTTGCTACGGAAACGGCCCTGTCCATTTGCCTTAATTTTTTTGGACTGCCAGACAATCCGGAGGCCAATTATCTCTTCACACGACAATATAATTACTTTGCTTGTGGTGCACAATGTCAGTAGAGAAAAGTATTTCTGCTAAGCATCCCATTAATAGCGTATTCCTCATACAACTCTCCTGTCTCCTCAAGTGCTGAGTCAGTGCAGTGTGACCGAATGGGATCATTGATTGGCTGATTGCTTCGCCATGTCCCTCGGAGATGACTCACCTCGTCTTCTCCGCGCTCTCACATCCTTTTCCCCCTCAGGGAGGCTCCGGGGAACACACACGCCTCATCTGGAGTGCACGTGGCATCATGGCCCCGGTCGATACATGGAAGTTGCAAATGAGCGTGTGTGCTCAGACATTAATCACAGACATTGGTTCAAATGACCGGGCATATGGCTGAGGGGGAGGAAAATGGTAATCTCCCGTCTCTCTAGAAAGATTAGCAGGATGATCATGGGGGGGGGGATCGACAGAATAGTCTGTTTCTAATGAGGTTTTACTGATGAGCTGTTGACCTGGAGAAAAGAGCAAACGGCAGGGTTGCATTTGTGTAGAGTGAAGAGTGAAAAATGAGTCTTCTACCAATGAAAAAGCCACAGAGATCTTTTCTGAATGCTTGTCAAACCGCGCAGGACTTCCCCCGGTGGGTACGGCACTTAACCAAAGACAAGCTTTCATTGACTGCCCTCCAACATATACTGGCGCGTCTCCAGGGCAGGAAGTTCTTTCCTTGATCTTAGGTGACCTCTGCATGCCTTTCGCGGCCGACGAGGGCTGAAGCACACCGCTGCTGCAAAATATATGGCGGAAAAGCCAACGGCGAGCTCGGGAAGAACACCAAACTAAACGTGGGGTCAGCTGGGGACCCGTGAACATAACCGCCGTTCCCAGTTATTTCTAAAGATTGTGTTATTGCTGCTGAAAGATCCTCCAGCTACACACAGAGTCAACAAAGCAGGCACTTGGTTAGAGGTCATAGAGTAAGAAATATTCACACAAAAAAAATCCTATCTGGGATTGAATTTCTACGATAATCACTCTTGTCTCAGTCGGTCTGGTAATTACAGCTGCTGTTATAAGATAAACAGGGAGGGGTATTCTGGCATCAGTACGGCTGGAACAGCTGAATGGCTCACATGCATAAATGCACCACATAGAGGTGACCACATCTCAGATTTACTTTTTATGTCACAATGCAGACAGGATAAAAAGTCTCTCCAACAATTTGAAATACAATTTATTCATTAACAGAAAGTAACCAAAATAAATATGATCGCTTGCTCGTTTGTCATAATTCCCCAATCGTCACGCAGCTCAAATAAAGGAGGTCCAAGATACATTCCCCCAAAACTACGCGGTGTCTGAATATATGAAAAGAAAACTATTTTGTGTAAAGCACAAAAAACTTAAAAGCACTTCATGGAGTGCTGTCAAAGGTTTCATAAGTAACGTTACATCTTGATGAATCATTCACCATTTGGATCAGACTTTAAATGCAACTCCCTTTGTAGACCAGTCAGACTGCAAAGAGCTGAATATCTAGCCTGTGATGTCATGATAAGACCTCCTTTGGCAGAATAGGGGTGTGTGTAGGTGGAAGGGGGGGGTCAGGGTTTTTGTGATTACTTTGGCTGGGCAGATCTCCAGCCAACCCGTCTCTGCTCTCGACAGCAGCAGTTCTGTCTTCATTCGACTGTACTAAATAATATTCAGCTGTGTGGTTCTATAACTATTCACACACAAGAAAAAACAAGCTTAGAGTTTCTGTGACTACTTGCCTCAATCTACAGTATTTTAAAACAGATTCCTTCCAATCCCCAATATTTAGATTAGCTGTTTTTCTATTTGCACAACCAAATAAAAAGCCACCAGTCACAGCAAATTCATATCAATCTTTATTGTATTTAGAAATCCACGCATCAAATCCTTTTTATTATTTTTTCCTTTACCATGTACAAGAGGGAGGAATGAGGGACAAGCTAAACGTCATGCCTTTCCCAGCAGGCGCGATGCACTACAGGATGGGCTGAAATGGAGGAGGAGGTGGGGGGGGACGGGCGGGAGGGCAAGAGAGATACATAAAGTGCTTTTGTCAACAGTTTTCTTATTTTAATAGAAAAAAGGATCAAAACAAAAGGTTTGAGGGTGGAGGGAAAGGACGAGGGGGTCCACGGACGTGACGGCGGAGAGTGCATGAGAAGTAAGGACGAAGGTGACGAGTCGATGAGGAGGAAGAGAGTGGTAGGGGTATTTATCTTTTAAAAAATAAAAAAAGCGTTCCAATGAAAAACAAAGACAAAAAAAAAAAAAAACAGGTGGTCTCAACCCAGGATGAGGCTGGACTTGCCACCGGGTGGGTTTCTCCGGCCGCCCGCGGCAGCGTTGGCATCTCCCGACGGGGCGGAGGGCTGTGGCGAGTCCTTCGGCTGC